CCTCTGTACAGGTGGACCCTGGTGTACAGGTGACCCTCGTGTACAGGTGACCGTAGTGTGCAGGTGGACCCTAGTGTACAGGTGACCATAGCATACAGGTGGACCCTAGTGTACAGGTGACCATAGTGTACAGGTGGACCCTGGTGTACAGGTGACCCTAGTGTACAGGTGGACCCTAGTGTACAGGTGACCATAGCATACAGGTGGACCCTAGTGTACAGGTGACCATAGCATACAGGTGGACCCTCGTGTACAGGTGACCATAGCATACAGGTGGACCCTAGTGTACAGGTGACCATAGCATACAGGTGGACCCTCGTGTACAGGTGACCATAGCATACAGGTGGACCCTAGTGTACAGGTGACCATAGCATACAGGTGGACCCTAGTGTACAGGTGACCCTGGTGTACAGGTGACCCTCGTGTACAGGTGACCCTGGTGTACAGGTGGACCCTAGTGTACAGGTGACCCTGGTGTACAGGTGACCCTCGTGTACAGGTGACCCTGGTGTACAGGTGACCGTAGTGTGCAGGTGACCCTAGTATACAGGTGACCCCGGCGTGCAGGTGACCCTAATGTTTGGTATCTCTTCAGTAGAGCCTTTTACATCAGCACAGAGAGAGAGAGAGAGGGAGGGAGGGAGGGAGAGGGAGGGGTCTTCCATCTGCTGGTTCACTCCCCAAATGGCCGCAATGGCTAGAGCTGCGCCCATCCGGAGCCAGGAGCCAGGAGCCAGGAGCTTCTTCCAGGTCTCCTATGTGGGTGCAGGGGCCCAAGTGCTCAGGCCATCTTCCACTGCTTTCCCAGGCCACAACAGAGCTGGATCAGAAGTGGAGCAGCCGGGACTTGAACCGGCGCCCATATGGGATGCTGGCGCTGCAGGCCAGGGCGTTACCCGCTATGCCACAGCGCCGGCCCCCTGTCCTGGTCCTGTCGCCAGTGCTCGTCCCTCACTCCCCTCTGGCACCGCCTTTCCGGCCCTGCTCTGCATGGCGGCGGAAGTGTGCACCTTCAGAACGAGCAGGCAGACCGGCGCCCACCACGTAGATCATCGGGCGGTCACATCAGGCTGTGACAACCTGGGATTGTCGCAGACTCCAACGCTGCCCATGGCGCCGGGCAACAGCATGCCATGCACGGGAACCCTGGAGAAGCAGTTTCTCTCCGAGAGTGCCCTGGCAGGGGGACTGGGGGGTGTGCTCCGAGGCCCTGGTCACGAGAACAGTTCATAGCAGATAACCCGTCTGTCCCTGGTGTGCCTCAGCCCTGCACGCGGCGCCTTGGTTTGCTCTGGTCGCCTCTCCAGGCAGATGGCTCACTTCCCCCACCTCTCCCGGGTCACGGGGGGGCCACAGCCTTGACGGGGGTGACCGAGGCCTGGGGGTGAGGACAGAGGGCAGGGACCGGGGGCAGGCCCTGTGTGGAGCTCCCCACTCTGCCTTCTCCCTCTTGCCGTCTGCGGACAGCACCAAGAGCCAGGTGCAGCCCGGTGCCCGGTGCCCGGCTGTCCCCTAGGGGGCAGTCACGTTCCCCGCCCTGGGTGTGGCAGTCACAGCCTGCCTGAGGCTGGCAGCTGGGTCTGAGCCTGTGACCCCGGCTCCTCAGGCCACCTCTGCACCCTGCTCCTCTCCAGTAGAGTGACGTGGCCCTGGACAGGGCTCCACGCCTGCGTCCCCGGCCTGGTGTCTGTGCACCCACCACGGCTGTGGCACGCGGCAGGCACTCAGGGAGTGGAGGCTTCAGCGCCCACGGCTGGGCCTCCTGTCCAGGCTGCACTGTCTCCTTGCGCTTCCTGGGGGAGGCCCGCGCCCCCTGCACTGAGCCAAGGAGAGTGGGTGGCAGTGACCACGGTCTTCCCTGCAGGCCACCTGGGTGTCAGCATGGCGGCCACGAACCTGGAGAACCAGCTGCACAGCGCGCAGAAGAACCTCCTGTTCCTGCAGCGGGAGCACGCCAGCACGCTCAAGGGGCTGCACGCCGAGATCCGGCGCCTGCAGCAGCACTGCACAGGTACCGGGCCGCGCCCCTGCGCCCCTGGGTCTGCCCGCACAGCGAGATGCCCCGTGTCGGGTGCGGAGCGCCCTCTGGGGGATACAGGACCTTGAGAAGATTGAGACCCAGTGTTGGGATCGCCAGTGCAGGTGGAGCTGGCCCCCGAGGCGCAGCATGCGTGCTGTGAGCTGCTCTGGTTCTGGGGTGTCGGGATATGTTTGGGGGCCGTGGGGAAGGGGTCTGGGGAGGCAGGAGGGTGCCATTAGCCCCCGCTCGCCTCTGAATCGCCTCTGTGGGGTGGGACTCGCGGCGCCCCCTGGGGCGTTCTCAGAGCCAGGAGGGATTTGATGTGGACTGACAGAACTGACTGTGAATTTTCCCTCTTAGATTTGACTTATGAGCTGACGGTCAAAAGTTCTGAACAGACAGGTAAGAACTGCCCCAGCCCCCGCCCTCAAGGTGGCGCTGCCCTTGGTGGGTGGCGCAGCGGTGGTCGGCACAGAGCACGGGCTGTGCGGGTCACCAGGCAGCCAGGGCGCCCTGCGGAGGGTGGGCGGGCCTGGGCTGTGACCAGGAGGCCGCGGCTGCACCTCGTGACTGACACGCGTGTTTTTCTGCTTTTCCTGCGGTGAATCCACGTTCCTCCTGAGACAGCAGGGGGCTGAGGGCAGGGCCGGGCAGAGCGGCTCCACCTCTGTGTCCCCCTGAGCACGCCTCTCGGTGCGGCTGGGCCGTGACCGTGACCTCAGTGCTGGCAAGTCCCCAGAGGGTCTGGAAGGTGGTGCAGACGGGCCTCCTCCAGGGCCCCTTAGGCTCCCCCTGCTGGCAGCTGGGGCTGTGCGCCCCCAGGGCGGGGCACAGGCGTGTGTCGGCGCCCCCTCTCCTCACCAAGCGTGCTGGCTGCAGTATTCATTCATGACAGTGCGCGGCCGAGCGTGTTACGTCCCCTAAGTGCTCCCGTCAGGAGCCAGACGGCCCGTGTGTTTGGGGGGCCGTGGAGAGAAGGCACTGGCCTCATGGGGCCTCAAAGAGGAGGGAGGAGAGGAGCCGCGCGTGCATGGACGCGGCACGCCCCCACCCCGGCCCGTCTGCGGGGCCCGTCCTTGTGTGCGGCCTGCCCGGGCGGCCCCCAGCCCCAGGGGCTCAGTGCTGATGATTTGCAGGGGTGGGGGAAACCATTGCTTTACTTTGTTCTCTCCCGAAACCACCTGTCCCAGACAGCTGCAGGATGCCGGTTGGAACCCAGCTCCTGCGTGGTGATGGCCAGGGTGTGGGAGCAGCCTGGGATCTGTGTTTACGAAGCCGCCTGGCAGCGACCCCACCAGATCCAGGCCGGCACCGCGGTGCCTGGGTTCAAGTCCTGCCCCGATTCCAGCTCCCTGCTAGTGCACACTGAGAGCAGTATTTAAAGTCAGAATGACAAGGAGCGAGAAAAAGGTCTTCCATCCACTGGTTCACTCCCCAAATGGCTGCAACGGCTGGGCCAGCCCGAAACCAGGAGCGTGCAGCTCTGTCCAGGTCTCCCTGTGGGCGCGGGGACCAAGCACGTGGGCCGTCCTCTGCTGCTTTCCCAGGCGCAGGAGCAGGGAGCTGGGCTGGAGCAAAGTAGCCGAGCCCGGAGCTGGTGCCCGTTATGGACGCCGGCGTCTCCGGCCTCAGCTTAGCCCACTGCCGCGGCGCCGGCCCCTCCGCGCCTCCTGAGCCGTGCGCGCTTCAGAGGCCGCTGGGGTTTTGTACTGCTGGCAAATGGGCGGGGGGGCTCCTGCAAACCAGCAGTGCACTCCCAGGCCCACGCTGGCCTCTCGCCCTGCAGGAGACGGGTCTGCCAGGAGCAGTGAGCTGAAGAGGAGGTGCGAGGAGCTGGAGGCGCAGCTGAGAGCCAAGGAGGACGAGAACCAGCAGCTGCTGCGCGAGCTGGAGCAGAGGAACGCCGCCATCGCCGTGCTGGAGCACACGGTGCGCGAGCGCGAGCGCAAGTACCTGGAGGAGCTCAAGGGGCGCAGCCACAAGCTGAGCGTGCTGTCCAGCGAGCTGGAGCAGCGGGCCGGCACCATCGCCTACCTGACCGCGCAGCTGCACGCCGCCAGGAAGAAGCTGCTCAGCTCCGGCGGCACCTCGGACGCCAGCCCGGCGGGCAGCCCCGTGCTGGCCGGCTACAAGCCCGCGCCGCCCAAGGACAAGCTGCCCGAGACGCCGCGCCGCCGCATGAAGAAGAGCCTGTCGGCGCCCCTGCACCCCGAGTTCGAGGAGGTCTACAGGTTCGGGGCCGAGAGCCGCAAGCTGCTCCTGCGGGAGCCCGTGGACGCCATGCCGGACCCCACGCCGTTTCTGCTGGCCCGGGAGTCGGCCGAGGTCCACCTGATCAAGGAGCGGCCGCTCGTCATCCCCCCCATCGCCTCCGACCGCGGCGCGAGCGAGCAGCACAGCCCGGCCCGCGAGAAGCCGCACAAGGCCCACGTCGGGGTGGCGCACCGCATCCACCACGCCAGCCCGCCGCAGGCCCAGGCCGAGCTGGAGACGCTGGCGGTGGACCAGGTGAACGCGGGCAAAGTGGTGCGGAAGCACTCAGGGACGGACAGAACTGTGTGACGCCGGGGCCCGGGGTCCACGCACTGTGACCACGACCAGGAATCATCCGCTCCTCGTGTCTCCTGCCCACGCATGCCTGTCCACCGCCCCCGCTCTGGCCCCAGCGACGTCCCTGCTGCAGAACGCGTGACCAGACGCCCGCAGGCTGCATCGCTCGCTTCTGGTCCCACTCCGTGTAGCCCGAGCTCGCTCGCGGACCAGGCCCAGCACCACCGACGTCCGTGACACCTGACAGCCACGCGCCTCTACAGGGTGAGCGCAACACGTGCCAGCCTCGGCCCTGCCCCCCGTGCTCTCCTGACAGCCCCTCCGCGGGCGGCAGCCGTCACCCAGCAGCCGTGTGTCACAGGCCCAAGATGACGCCTCCTGTCACCACCCCAGTGTGTGTGCATATTTTTTGTTAGTGTTATCCAAAATGTTCAAGATCCCAACAAACTTTATTTTCTCAACCCGCCTTCATTCTGTCCTGTGTCTTCTGTTACATCACAGGGGGGTATGTGAGGGTGGCGGGCCGAGCCCGCCCTGGGCGGCCAGTGGCTGCTGACCCCACCCCAGAGACCCAGCGTGTTAGGTGGGAGTGCAGGCGGGGCCGAGATGCGTGGCCCGGAGAGAGGAACTTGAGACGTCTTGAAACACCGCAGTGTTTATGTTCTACTACCCAGAAGCCCAGAGCAGTAAACAGTCCAGCGATCCGGGCGGGGGGCGGGGCGGGCGTCAGTCCGAGTTGAGGGTGAGGCACACCCCCTGCAGCACCCAGTGAGAGATGTGCCTGGTCGTGAAGAGATCCGCTTCGAACACCAGGCCGACTCCCATGGCGTTGCGTCTCATGGACGTGGTGTAGACGGGGGTGCGGAAGGTGTTCTGCGAGGGAGCGGTGGGTGAGGGCCCCCCAGACACGGCCGCTGTGCCCGCACCAGGAGGGAGGGGCCTCCCTGGCCCGCAAGCTCAGCCCCGGCGTGGGGCCCGCGGGGCAGGCCGGCACCTGCAGCTTGAGGCGGTGGGCTTCGATGGGGATGATCTTCAGGATGGGCAGGTCCACGACCAGCACCTTGGGTTTGCTCTTGACGAGGCAGCCTCGCTCTGTGTCCCAGTCAGCACCCTCCAGGTACAGCCCCGACACGAAGCACCCTAGGGAGCAGAAGGAGCCACGTGCGGGGAGCAGCCCTAGCAAGGGACCCTGCAGACCCGCAGGTGGGGAGGGGCGGGGAGGGCGCAGCGCTGGGGACCTGGCGTCGGGACAGAGCAAGAGCACGGAGACTGGTCGCCCCGAGCCACAGCTGGCACCGCGGCAACCCCAGCACCCCGGGGAGCCTCACAGAGAGTGGGCTCCGAGGCCCATGGAGAGGCAGGGAAGGCGCCTGTCCTGTGGCCCCGGGGCGAGGGGCCGCCCAGCCTGCCCGAGCTCCAGGGGGTGGGGCCAGCAGCCGTCCCCAGCTGCCTTTGCCCAGTGGGTCACCGCCCCGGCTCCCAGGGAGCCGCCCAGCCTGCCCGAGCTCCAGGGGGTGGGGCCAGCAGCCGTCCCCAGCTGACCTTGCCCAGTGGGTCACCGCCCCGGCTCCCAGGGAGCCACCTGCTGACCCGACTCCCCGCCAGAGCCAAGTCTGGCCTAGGCGCCTGTTCCCACAAAGGCTCAACCCCAGTCTCAACAAAGAGAAACGTGGGTGCCAGTGTCAGGGCCGGTGGGGCACACACAGTCGTCGGCTCAGGGGGAGACTGTACCTTGCCCCGCCCGCTCGTTCACTTCCTCTGCATCTTGGAACTTGGTCACTTGCGTGAACAGGGTGGACCGGTCCAGGGGCCAGCCGTTCTTCCGGCACGTGGCCTGCACCAGGGCCGTGAGGTAGGATTCCGGGATGTGCAGCCCCGAGAGCCACATGACGCCGGGCTCCCCCTCGGTGACCTGGGGGAGGGCAGAGCAAGCGTGGGGGCTGGGGGGGCTGCCACCAAGTGCCAGGGTCAAGGCTGACCAAGAAGGTCACAGTTCACCTCGGCAGCGATTGGCAGTGCACGTGCAGGGAGACCTGGCTGGCTGCCAGACTCCAGACGGATCCGAGTGTAAAGAGGAGACCCCGGAAAGACCTGGCCCCTGCTGGGCGCGGTCTCCTGCCCTGGGGGCAGGGATACAGCCCAGAGCCACGAGAGCTGGGGAGAGCGGACTGCATGGGAATGCAAACCTACAGGCGGAGAAGCCTGCAAAAGTGCTCCCAGCGCTGTCGGCTGAGGGCTGAAACGGGGCCAGGGCTGAGCCGCCGCTGGGGACACTGCAGCCATGTGGCCACCAGGCGAGTCCCAGGTACTCCGTGCTCCGGTCCGGCTCCGTGAAGTGGCACAAGTGCACCTGCCGCCTGGTGGGAGACCGGGTGAAGTTCCAGGCTCCAGGCTCCTGGCTTTGGGCTGGCCTGGCCCGGCCCTGGCCGTTGGCAGCCATTCGGGGAGTGAACCAGCAGTTGGAAGATGTCTCTCTCTCCCCCTTGTCACTCTGCCTTTCAAATAATAAACTTTTAAAGTCAATCAAAATGACAGGCCTGAGTCAGGTTAAGACACACAGGTAATTCACAGAAAAGAAGCCAAGCCTGTAAAATACGCTCGACCTCAGCACAGTTCCAGGGATGCAGAGCAGAGCGCTCGCTGCTGCCACCGCCCGGCCCCCAGCGTGTGCAGGACGCAGAGGTCTGTGGAGAACGAGGCGTGTCCAGAGAGCCCCAGGGAAGCCCGTCCCCACTCTGAGTGCACACACTGGGTTCTGCCCCTCCCGCTGCTGGAACTGACCGTGGGGTGTGCACGCGTCTGTGCCCCGCGTGTCGTCAGGGCGCCTGTAACGAACGCCCTCAGAAGGGCGAGCCAGGCTGCAGGATAAAGTCAGCCGTGCAGGGGCCGCACCCCGTCAGAGGCCAGGTTTGAGCCCCAGCTGCTCCCCTTCCGATCCAGCTCCCTGTTAGCTAATGAGCCTGGGAAAGCAGCTGGAGACGGCCCAGGTGCTTGGGCCCCCACACCCACATGGGAGACCCGGACGGAGTCCTGGCTCCTGGTTTCGGGCGGGCCTGGCCTTCGGACACTGTGGCCGCTTGGGGAGTGACCAGTGGAAGGAAGACCTCTGCTGTGTCTCTGTGTGGCTCTGCCTGTCAGGTCAGTCAGTCCATCTTCACACGTGCATTAGCGCCACGGGAGAGAAGGCACAGAGGAGCCGGCCGGGCAGGGTGGGAGGTGCTGGAGGACGCCCCGCCCCCACTCACCCACGACGTGTACTGGCTGAACCTGCGCAGGAAGTACACCATCCAGTTTCCCAGGGACTTGAGGGTGTCGGGGGCCAGCTTCCTCCAGATCCCGGGGATGTGCCCGATAAACAGAGACCGGGCCACGTCATCCAACTCGTTGCTCATCCCAACCTCTCCGGCCAAGGCCTGTTGACAGAGCCCAGAGCAGTCGGCGGGGCGGGGCGGCCAGGGGCGGCGGGGCTGCGGGCGCCCGGCGCGAGGGGCTGGCTCACCCTCTGCAGCTCGGCCAGCGACCGCGTCATCCGCACCACGAGCTTGTTGAAGCGCTCCAGCTCCTGCAGGAGCACCACCGAGGTGGGCGAGATCCCGAAGCCCAGGTGCTTCCTGACCTGGTCCAGGTCGAAGCCCCTGGGCAGCCTGTGCTCTATGTCCTTGGCCACGTGGCCGATGTAGTCGTCGCGGCTGATGCCGCTGCTGGATTCCCCTACAACCAGGACGCTTCTGAGGGGCAGCAAGGCCTCCGGGCCCGGGGCGGGGCCGCCCGAGCCTCCAGGCCCAGGAAAGGCGCCGCGCCGCCCACTCACCCGTCTGCGGCTGCAGCTCCAGCAGGTGCCCCCACATGTCGCGGGCCGCCTGTGTGTAGTAGCCGATCTCGGCGTTGGAATGAAGGCCGAACACCTCAGGCGTGTTGGCCAGAGGCAGGGCCTCAATGGCTTCTGGAACCACAGAGAACAAGCTGGGCTCACACTGCAAGCCGCCCCCCAGTTCCTGAGCACCCAGACGTGCACCGCACTGGGGGGCGTGTTGCACACACGCACATGCACACGCCCCAGTGCCAGCCCAGCTGGATGTCATTCCCTGTAATGCCAGTAGCCCAGTGAGCTCCCCGCCAGGCTCGGGTCCCCCGGGGACCCAGGGGCCCTCCCTCTCTCCCTCCCGCGCAGGAAGCCGGCAGGCCAAGAGCAGCCGCTGAGCCCCCTCTCAGGCCCTCCGCCCTCCACGCCCGACCAGCCTTGCAGCCCCAGCAGGGGAGGGGTTGGAAGATAACCATGACAACCACGGGACAGGAAACGGCCGAAATCCACGGCTTCCCTTAGAAGCCCCTTTAAGAATCCTTTTTCCGGGGGCAGGCATTTGGCGCGGCAGTTAGGACGCCCCTTGGGACGCCCACATCCCACATCAGTGTCGGTTCAAGGCCCAGCCGCTCCCTGCTGTGGGCGCCCTGGGGGACAGAAGACGGCCCAGGTCCTCGGGCCCCTGCTGCCCACGGGGGAGACCCGGATGGTGTTCCAAGCTCCCAGCTTTGGACCGGACCAGCCTTGGTTGTTGCATGCATTTGGGGAGTGAACCAATGAGTAGGAGATTCTCTCTCTCCCTCTCTCTCTGCCTTTCAATCAAAATTTAAATAAATGAATAGAGTCGTTAAAAAGGCCTTCTCAGGTCTGAGAAATCTCACCAACGAACTTCTCCTTGACGTCGCCGACGGGGATTTTGTAGTCCACCTCCTCGTTCCGGAAGAAGTGGAACGGCTGGAAGGTGTCGAAGATGAAGTCGCCCAGGTACTCGTCCATGTAGGTGGTCAGGATGCGGCGGTCGAAGCTGTCGATGGCGCGTCCTCCGTACATGACCTGAACCAGAGGGCCGAGGGCCGGCTGCGGGGGGCTCGCGGGGCCACAGCTCCCGCCCATCGGCTCCCATCAGAGGAGCTGCTGACAAATACGGGGGCCTCGGTGGGGCCTCCCGAAGTGACAGCTCCCTCAGAGAGCCTGGGGACCCCTACCAAACGGATCAGACAGGCCAGCAGCAAAACAAGGACCACAGAAGCCAGCAGCCGTCCCGGCCACTGCCAGCGTTACGGCAGAGCTCATGGGACGCATTCCCGTGACCCCGGGTCAAAAGCTGTGGACTCCACGTCCCGAGACACGCCCAAGGCGCGGCTAGGCAGGGCCCCGAGACTCCAGGCCGCTGAGGGGCCACGTGACGGGGGCCCCTCAGGACCGGGACCATCTCACGGGCTCCGCAGCCCCCACCTCTCCGATGAGGTACTTGAGGCTGCCCCACGGGATGCGCGGGTCGCGCTGCTGGAAGGCCTTTGTCAGATACGTGTTCAGGATCTCCATGCAGACCTGCAGGGGGGAGGCCAGGCCCGTGAGAGGCGGCGCAGCCCGCAGCCCGCAGCCCGCTGGAGGCGAGGCCGCCGCCCAGCCCCCGCCGCCGGGGGCACCTGGAAGTCGGACTCGTTGAAGTCGTAGTACACGTTCCAGCCGATCTTGCCGAACTTCCTCCTCTCCTGCACCACGGCGTGGAAGAAGGCCAGCACGTAGACCAGCGGCTTGAAGGCGGCGTGCGGGCACCGCTCCAGCAGCTCCTGCGAGATCTTGAAGTACGTGGCCCTCATGTTCAGTTTGAGCCCGTTGGGCGGCTCCGTGACAACCTGAGAAGCAGCCAGCTGTGGTCGGAGGCCACGGAGCCCTGGGCCACGCTGGGCAGGCGCCTGACGCACGCAGCCATCCACCCCCACCCCCGCCGAGGCCCCGGCACCAAAGTCAGAGGCCACCGTGTGCAGCCAGCGCTGGCCCCAGCTGGGCAGGTGACCCAGCCCCGCTCTCAGCTCGGGGTCCCCAGCTGGGAGTGGCAGCAGCTACGGCTGCTCCCACCTGCGCCAGGAGAACGGCCCCAGGGGGCAGCAGTTGGGCGGGGCCCAGAAGCCACCCGGGGCTGCTGCAGGCTGGGGGGGCTCTGTCATGAGAGGGGAGGGGGGTTCCACAGGTGTGACCGGGGGCGAGCCCGCCGAGACACTGTTGTAGCCACACAGAAGTGGCAGACACGGCCTGGGAGTCCAGCACTGGGCTGACAGGCGGGGGACAGCGGCCCCTCCCCAGCACCGGGCTGACAGGCGGGGGACAGAGAGAGGGGGTGGGGGTATCCGCAAGGTTCGCACAGGTACATGCACACACACACACACGCAGGCAACACACTTCTACACGTGCACACACATACAAATGCACCCACAGACCACGTACACACACACACACAGATGCACACGTGGGCGGCACACGCACACATACATGGTTGTGTATATGCACACACATGTGCATGTAAATGCACCCAGAGACCACACACACGCAGATGCACACGTGGGCGGCACACGCACACACATAGTTGTGTCTATGCACACACATGTGCATGTAAATGCACCCACAGACCACGTACACACACACAGAGATGCACACGTGGGCGGCACACGCACACATACATGGTTGTGTATATGCACACACATGTGCATGTAAATGCACCCACAGACCACGTACACACACACAGATGCACACGTGGGCGGCACACGCACACATACATAGTTGTGCATATGCACACAGAATGCACGTAAGTGCACAGGCAGCCACATACACACACGCACGTGCACACACTCGCACACACACACTGGCAGTGGCCCTGGGACAGGGCTGCGGTGTTGGGGTGCACGTCCCGGGCCAGACCTTCAGGGACTTCTGCAGAATCCCAATGGGGAAGCCCTTGGTGGGGTCAGTGGTGAGCCACAGGCGGAAGTCGGGGTGCGGCTTGGTGATCCTCTCCAGGGACTTCTCCAGGTCCTTCAGCCACCTGACCAGGAGGTGACAATTCTGCAGCATCAGCCACTGGCCGCGAGCCACGGCCGTCTCCAGCAGCTGCAGCGCCACCTGCGCAGGGGGAGGGGGAAGAGAGGCAAGGGCTTGGGCCCCGGAGCCAGAGACCCACCCCGCCCCGGGCCGGCGAGGGGGCGAAGGAGCCCTGGGAGACACGGCCCTCCACGCCCCCGCCAGTCGCACCTGCACCCCTGGGCCCCGAGGCAGGGCCCTGACCCAGGCCAGGTGCACCAGGCGGCGCGCACGCCTCTGCCCCGGCGCTTCTGGGCTCGGCCTCACAGGCGGCGGGGCAGTGCTGATGCCGAGCAGCACGGGGCAGGGGCCCAGGGAGACCGTGGTGGTGCGGGGGAGGGCCCATTGTCCTCCTAACCTTCGTTACTGCTCTGTCGGACACACACCCAACCCACACTACTGCCCGGTTAACGCGCTCCTAGCCGGCCAGCCACGGCCCAGGTGCACAGCCGCGTGTTACCTTCTCTTGACCTTGACCCATGGCGAGGAATTTGAGGCGGTTGCCTCCGAAACCACATCGCTCGGCTAACTTCATGAGGTCGCTGGCAGGGTCGGAGCCGGGGCTCAGGATGAACACGATGGGGGAGTTGGGCGTGCTCTGCTCGAAGATGGCCTCGAAGCTGATCATGGGGGGCTGCACGTACCTGGGGGCGGGAGGAGCACACTCACGAGGGCGCAGCGCCCTGGGCCGCCGCTCCAGTCCCATCCAGCCCCTGCTGGCGGCTGGGGCAAGCGCTTGGGCCCTGCTCCCGCATGGGAGACCTGGAGGAAGCTCCCGGGTCCCGGCCTCAGCCTGGCTGTTGCGACCTTCTGGGGAGCGGACCAAAGGACAGAAGCACTCTCTCCTTCCCTCTCCCTCTCTCCTTTTCTCTCCCTCTCCCTCTCCTTTTCTCTCCCTCTCTCCCTGTCACTATGCCTTTCAACTCGATAAATCTTACCAACAAAACAAACAGCTCTCCCTGGGGGACAGCTGCAGGCCGGGAGCCCGCCCGTCTGACCAGCACCGTCTCCTCCTCCTGCCTGCCGCCCTGGCGGGCTCTTTGCCCGGCCTGCCCTGTCCGGGAGCCCGGTCTCTCCACAGAGGGCCCCTCTGCCCCCCTGGCGCGGCTCAGCGCCCGCGTGTTGGGCTCAACAGGTTTATCCGGGGCTGGGCGCCTCGGCACAGAGCCTGGAGTCACCGGCCCTGGCCCGCGCACCCCACATCTTGAGTTTTGGGGTGTTAATTTCCTGCTGCTATGCCTTGCATTGGGTTTGTCCCCCAGGGCTCCTGTGCAGGAGCTTAGAAGGGGGGGTGCTCAGGGAGGCCGCCCTGGGAGGGGTTAGGGCCGCTGTCCCAGGACCACTTACAGAGCGAAGCTGCCCACGTGCCCGGCCCTCCCGTGCGTGGCCACTGCCCTCCCCACTTCTCTGCCGATGCCGACACCAGAACCAGAACCAAATAAGTTTTTTTCTTTACGCATTACCCAGCATCAGTTATTTGGGTGTTATTTCATTTAGTTGAAAGGCGGAGAGGGAGGGGGAGGGGGAGGGGGAGAGAGAGAGAGAGAGAGAGAGAGAGAGAGAGATCTTCCATCCACACGTCACTCCCCAAGGGCCCCAGCAGCCAGGGCGGGCCAGGCCGGGGCCAGGAGCCAGAGTCTGCCCAGGTCTCCCGCACGGGTGCAGGGGCCCAGGCACCTGGGCCGCCATCTGCTGCCTCCTGGGCGCATCCGCAGGGGGCTGGGTCGGAGCGGAGGTGAACTCCACCCCAGGACGCGGTGTCCCTGCGGCAACTTCACCCACTGCGCTACAACCCCACCCGGTCAGCTGGGAGCGGCGGCATAAACGGACTAAGACCGTGGCCAGCACCCGAGCGTGGAGAGGTCCCATGCAGGACTCTGGGTGGCTTCCTTCAAAGCCTGGGGTCTCACCTCTCCGGCCCTCTTGCCACCTGCCGGCAGTGGCCAGGAGCTGAGCAGCTGCCTATGTGGACCAGGCCCAGACGAGGGGCCCTGCCGCAGGCCCCCCCCCCCTTTCCCCCGCTGCCAGCCGCACAGGCACAGCCCTGTCGGCGACCGCGAGTCACCTCCCTGGCCTTGCACTCAAGCCAGAGCTGCCGTGTGCTCCCGGGGCCCGCCGGGGCACACAGAGCACCTGCCACGAGCCTGGTCCCGACTGAGACACGCTACACGTGTGAACTCACACGGATCCTGCACGCTGAGACACGCTGCACGTGTGAACTCACACGGATCCTGCACACTCGCTCCCCAAAACAGCTACGTGAGAGCTCTCAGCCACCTTTGCCCTGGTCACGTGTTGAAATAACGTTTTGGTGTTCTCGGTTACTAAAACACGGTGTCAAATTCTGCCGGCTGCTTTCTCTCGCGGCCACCAGGCCATCTGAAGTGGCCCGCGTGGCTCAGGTTGCATTTCTCCTGGGCACAGCCGTCTGGGGAGGCCACCGCTGGCGGGCGGGGCTCACACGGAGGGGACGTCAGGTGCGAGGCCCACAGCAGGAGGGACGCGCTTACTTCTCCCCCATCGTGAGCGTCACGTAGTCGGTCACGGCCCGGTACACGCGGTCCACGCGGAAGCAGCGCAGGACGAGCAGCCTCTGGAAGGGGGTGACGCTGCTGTCGTAACCCAGGGGGAGCGGAGACTGCTCGAGGGAGTCCAGGTCGTACCACTGGCAGGACAGAGAACACGCACCCTGCGTCAGCTCGGAGGTCGCCGCAGCCCCGCCTTCGCGCGAAGGTGCCAGCAGCCGCGGTAAAGGGACGAGGGCCTGCAGGTACGGGGACCAAGCCCAGTTCTGACCTTGGTCTCGCGTTTCCACTCCGAGGAATCACAAACGTCACAGGGAAGGACCGAGCCTTGTTCACCCCGTCAAGCACTGTTGGTGCTCAGTGACTGCTCTGGGATGTGGGGGGGGGCTGGGGGGCAGATGGACGAGTAGGGAGGTGCATGGGTGGCGTGCAGGTGGATGCATGTGTGAGTATGCGGGTGGGTGCATGGACAGACGGACAGGTAGGTGGGGTGGGAGGGTGGGCTGATGGACGGAGACAGATGGGTGGGTGGACAGACAGGTAGGTGGATGGACAGATGATAGTTGGGTGGGTGGAGGGAGGGAGGGAGGGAAGGACAGATGGATAGGTGGGGGGGTACATGGATGGAGGGACAGATGGACACTTGGGTGGGTAGAGGGATGGATGGAGGGACGGATGGGTGGGTGGGGGATGGGTAGGTGGATGGGTAGGTGGATGGGGGGTGAGTGGACAGGGAGGATAGATGCTCAGATAGGTGGATGGACAGACTGATGGTCCTCCCACGTAACTGTGACTTAGACAAGGAAGAATCCCACCCCGGCGGCTGGAAAGCACGGAGGACACTGAGCGGCCGTCACGCACTCGGGTTAAGACGCTGTGCAGGCTTGCAGATGGCCGAGGAGACGGCGCGCTCACCTCCTGCCAGGCCGCGGGGTGCTTCTCCACGTCGTCCGGGAGGTTCCCGAAGGTGTCGGGGAACAGCTCCGACAGAAGCACGATGTCTTCCCAGCCCTGCTCGGACAGCCACGCGCACGGCTTCTTCCGTCTGCTCTTCTCCAGGGAGATGTTTCCTAGCCACGACACAGCGAGCGCAGTGACCCCTCTCGCTTCCGCGGGCCACCAGCAGGGACGAGAGCAGAGAGGGGTGGCCGCTCTGAGCCCCGCACAACCTCCGAGACCTGGAGGTTGGGAACGGGCGGGCGCACGGGGAGCCACAGGCAGGAGGGAGGCGGCGGCTGTTACCTTTCAGGAAGAAATCGAGCTCCTCCTGGGGGACCCTGCCTTCCGCCTGCTCTATCTTGATGGTCATGTTGAAAGAAAACAGCAGCTTGTGCCGCTCAAACAGCCCTGCGGGACCAACGTTTGTGGGTGCCGGCGGCCCCGCGTCCGCCTCACAAACCAAAACCCTCCTGGGCGGCGGGCTGAGCCCCAGGCCCCCCGCCTGCCCCCCCACCCTGACCCTCCTGGACAGCGGGCTGAGCCCCAGGCCCCCCGCCTCCCCCCGCCACCGACCCTCCTGGGCAGCGGGCTGAGGCCCGGGCCCCCCGCCTGCCCCCCCCCCCGACCTTCCTGGGCGGCGGGCTGAGCCCCAGGCCCCCCGCCTGCCCCCACCCCCGACCCTCCTGGGCAGCGGGCTGAGCCCTGCGGGGACCTTCCTGGGCGGCGGGCTGAGCCCCAGGCCCCCCGCCTGCCCCCCCACCCACCCTCCTGGGCAGCGGGCTGAGCCCTGCCGGGACCTTCCTGGGCGGCGGGCTGAGCCCCAGGCCGCTCATCTGCCCCGCCGGGACCCTGCTGGGCGGCGGGCTGAGCCCCGCTGGGGCCCTCACCTGTGCAGCCGTAGTTGTAGATGTTGAAGGTCAGCGTGTCCATGATATTCTTCAGCCTCTTGAGGAGGATGGAGTCCGGCAGCGACTTCTTCAGGGACAGGCCGAAGACCTCCAGGAAGGCGGTCAGCGAGTGCTGGTACATGGAGTTCACCAGGGCCATCTCGGACAGGACGAAGAACAGGATGGCGCCGCGCCGGGCGGCCGGCCGGTAGCCGTCCCGCAGCCTGTCGATGTCCAGCGCCGTCTTCTCAGCCAGCTTCAGCTTCTCGGACACCTGGGGAAAGGCGCCCGTGACCCGGGGCCAGGGAGGCGGGGGCGGGGCGGGGGCTGGGAGGCCCCGGGCGAGTCTGGGCAGGCCCGGCTCCCTCGCCTAGGCCCCTGGCCTTTACTCCCAGCTCAGCTCCCCCCAGGGGGTGCAAGCCCAAGTTCAAGGGAGGAGCGAGCGCCCCCGGCCACAGGGGCTGGTCCAAGGCTGGCGCGCGACTTCAGTAACCCTCTAACCCTCACCCGGGGAGCGAGATTAGTCCTCGGTGACCCCCGAGGGCTGGGGCCCGAGGCCAGAGCAATCTTGTGACTGTGAGAGGAGCTGCAAGAGGGTGAAGCTGACCCAACAGAAGGCCCAACCCGGACACAGACACGCGTGGAGTCCCGGAGCCAGTCCTGGGCGCCTCCGCTCCCCAAGATGATGACCTTCCTTTTACTTACTTATTAAGATTTATTTATTAATTTGAGAGGCAGAGTTAGAGAGAGAGAGAGAGAGAGAAAGAGAGAAAGAGAGAGAGAGAGAGAGAGAGATCTTCCCTCTGTGGTTCACTTTCTAAATGGCCACAACGCCCAGAGCTGGGCCAGGCCATGCCAGGAGCTTCTCCCAGGTCTCCCACGTGGGTGCAGGGGCCCAGGCACTTGGGCCATTCTCACTGATTTCCCAGGTGCATGCGCAGGAAGTTGGATTGGAAGTGGAGCAGCCGGGACTCGAACCAGCGCCCACATGGGATGCCGGAGCTGCAGGCCGCGCCCTCCCTTTAACTTAAGCCACACAGGGCTGGGTTTTCCGCCCTCGTCAGTGGACAGAGGCCCTGGGAGCACCGTCAGGACGCCTCCCCTTTTCCTATCACGCAAATCCTCAGTGACTCGAAGCCCGACTCTGATGAGCTCCCAGGCGGAGGGGACGGATCCCGGGTGGACGCCCCCAGCCCCCCGGCTCCCGAGCCCCCGAGGTCACACCCCAGCCCCCCGGCTCCCGAGCCCCCGAGGTCACAGCTGGATTCTCCTCGGGCAGACGCGGGCACTGTGCGCCGGCCGCGGCGGCTACCTCTGTGGCCTTGGACTTGGTCTCCTCCAGGGTGTACACCAGCTCGGCGTTGTCCAGCATGTTCCCCGTGGACGTGGCCAGCTCCCGCAGGAGCGAGTCCTCCAGGTCCCGCAGCAGGTTCTTGTTGTCGCTCGTCTCCTGGATCAGGTGCTCCCGCTGCTCCTCCAGCTCGTGCCGCTCGTGGGCCACCAGCACGCTCAGCAGCTGGTCCTCCAGGCCCTTCAGTGTGACTGGGGGACACGGGTGGACCTCACCGGCTGCGGCCAGGGCAGCAGCCAGGACCTCTCCAAGCCACTGCCAGGGCTCCAGACAGAACAGGCGGCTACACGGCCACACGGAGCCAGGTGGTGCCATGAAGACGCCCCCACAAAGGAAACACCGTATGCTGGGGGCCCCGGGCTCAGGTGCTCAGCCCCTCCAGGCAGCCGGCAGACAGCCCTGGGGGAACGCGAGCAGAAACATCCAGTTCCTCTTAGAGGGTGGGAGGGGGCGGCAGGGACCCCAACCTGGCCCATGTCCGCCCATGCCCCTGTGGAGCCAGGTGGCATGGCCTGCGCCTGATCCCACGGGCTGCAGTGCTGCCCAGTGACATCCCAGTGGCTCTCCTGAGACCACCGAGGGTGAGGTCACTCCCCGCCCCGCCCCCTAGGCCCCGCCCACTCTGCCCCAGGCCTGTCTGTCCTCACCCGTGTAGTTGATCACCATGGCCTTCCCGAACACCGACGGCGGGTATCTGGGGTTGGCCAGCTTGGTGTTGAGGTAGAGCCGGAAGTTGGAGTCGTAGTCCACCTCCTTGTCTCCCAGGATGATGAACTGACGACCTTGGGTGACCTTGATGTTCTTCTCTAGGACATTGTCGATCACGGGGTCTATGTACTCGTCCACGTCGTGGAACAGGAAGGGGGTCCCGTACTTGACCGACATCTCCAGCTGCTTGAGGAAGTCGGGGTCATTGAAGGAGGCCACCTGGAAGAGAGGGGTGGCACACTGGGTGGTGGCTGGTGGCAGGGAGGGGAGCAGGCGCATAACCTGGGGGCACCCAGGGCAGACTCAGGGCAGCCCCTCGCTCCACACGCCCGGGAGACCTCAGAAGGGATCCCAACCCTCTGCCCCACTGTGCCCTAGCACCTCTGCTGGCCCTGCCTCCCTCCCTCCCCACCCAGGAACTACAAGGGACCCTGGGGAGCCGGGGGTGGGGCTGGAACGGGGGTGTGGGGGCTGAGGAGGGGCGGCCCCGGGGGGAGGAGCGCCAGGGAGCCCCATGAATCAGCACGTTTGAGCTGTCCCAGCCACGTGAGCGCTTAGAGGCACCTGCACACCTGGGCGCCGGGGCCGGCACAAGAAAAGGTAAAACTGAAAACTGCAGATTTGTCCAGCAGAAAGCACCTGGGCCCCACCACCCTCTCCTGGGTACGAGGGGGCTCTGAAAGCTGCTCAAAGGCCATTCTCTGTATTGTCGTTACCATCGTATCCGTGAGAGAGGCAGAGAACGGGATGAGCCACATCTGCCACCCACCGAGTGGCGCCCCCCATGCCCGCAGCTGAAGCGGGAGCCTGGAACGCGGCCCGTGCCCACCGTGCAGGTGGCAGGACTCCTGCACGGGGCCATCACGGCTGCCTCCTGGTGTGCACCAACAGGAAGCCGGACCTGAAGTGGAGCCGGGAATCAACCCGAGGGCTCAGATAGGGACGCGGGTCTGGGCCGGAGCCGGCTGTCCGGCAACCGCCCTCGCTCTGTCTCCTGGTTCCGTTTTCCCACGAGCTGCTCAAGGCCGCTTGTGCACCCAGAGGGTTGAAGACACGGCGGCCCCAGAGCGGAGAAGCCCGGCGTTTGTCGGGTGACAGAGACACGCATGTGGCCCGGTCGTGAAAAGGAACGAGCCAGAGTGGACGGCTCTGCTGGGAGGGTGGCCGCCGACGTCCCTGCGGACGCACGGCCCCGTCCCAGAGCCCTGTGCTACAGCCGCAGAGCCGGTGGGAGACCCAGAAACTGGGCAGACGGACGCGCACGTGAGAGGCGGCTGGGGGCACCGGGGAAAGCCGGGCGCTGGCCCTCGGGAGGGCGTGGGGGACGCAGGGAAACCGCCACCGGGAGAGACTTTCAAGAGAGGGAAGCGTGGTGAGCAGCCTCTCCAGAGAGTCTGCGCCCAGGTGCAAAACCCACGCCGAGGCTCGGCCAGGACACAGCGCCAGAGGCCAGAGCTGGAAGCTGACCGGGAGGCGCCTTTCCTCCAGAGACTGCCCGTCCGGGTCCCTCCCCCCACCAGCACCCGTGAGAGGGGATGTCCCCAGGACCCAGCGGCCCCGGTAATTCCTCCTTGCCACGTCAGAGCCAGGGAACTCGGTCGGACCTCAGAGCTGGAGGAGGGCACTGCCCCAGAGGAAAGAAATTCCATTCCCGCTCCGACAGCAGCGAGAGATCAGAGACCCCTGGAAGACCGTCTCGCTTCGGGTTTCAGAGCGTTTTCTAAATTCTAGAGCATCCACACCCACAACGATGGATGAAAGGGAGGAAGCAGAGGAAGGGGGGAGGGGAAGGGGGAGGGACGCAGGCCACAGCATGGACAAACAGCTCAGCACTACGCTGAGTGACAGAGCTGGACGCGAAGCTGCAGCTCCGCGACCCCTTTCCTAGGCAAATCCGCAGGGACAGGAAGTGATCCGTGACGGCCAGGGATGGGGGGGAAGGGGGGGGCAGTGGTGGAAGGTTTGGGGGCGGCGGCAGCTAAAGGAGATGCATTTCCCCGGGGGACGACACACGAGTTCTAAGATGGACCTGACGGCTGTCACACAACTTTGCCGGTGCTCGGACCCCACGCTGAACCCCGCGGTGCGTGGGTGACTTCTCCGTCAACCTGGGCTCTCGCCCTCCCTGCCCACCGTGCCTGGGCGCCCAGGGCCCCCAGGGACCTGAGAGAAGCAAGAGCTTGGCTGGGGGGTGGGGGACGCGGGAGGAGCCCCTACCCGCAGGTTGTTCTTCTCCTCCTTCCTCTTGATCCAGTTGAGGGCCTGCTGCTGGGGGTCGATGCAGAGGGGGAAGCGGCTGGCGCGGGTGGTGAGGATGCCGTTCTGCACCGAGAGCTCATCGGGGGGCAGGCCCTGGGAGCCCCACCTGCGAGGGCAGTGGGGTCTGCCTTCTGCAACAGCCCCCCCGGCCCCTGGAGACGAGCAGCCCCCCGGGCACCCTCACAGACCCTGGAGACGAGCAGCCCCCGGCACCCTCACAGCCCCTGGAGACGAGCAGCCCCCGGCACCCTCACGGACCCTGGGCACCCTCACAGACCCTGGAGACGAGCAGCCCCCGGCACCCTCACAGCCCCTGGAGACGAGCAGCCCCCGGCACCCTCAAGGACCCCGGGCACCCTCACGGACCCTGGAGACGAGCAGCCCCCGGCACCCTCACGGACCCTGGAGACGAGCAGCCCCCGGCACCCTCACGGACCCCGGGCACCCTCACGGACCCTGGAGACGAGCAGCCCCCGGCACCCTCACAGCCCCCCGGGCACCCTCACGGGCCCCGGGCGCCCGCCGCACACCTGCTGATCTCCACGTCGTCGGTGAGCAGGTTCTCCAGCCGGAAAGGCTGGCTCAGGGGGATCTCGCGCTCTCGGATGTCACTCTGCCACACCTGATTGACCATCTCGTCCCGGAACTCCCAGGTGAAGGCGCCCTCGTAGCTCAGGAAGGCGGCGCACAGCAGGCAGTCCCCCAGCAGCTTCACGCGACGATGCATCAGCTCGTCCAGGTCGCTCAGCCACCTGGGCCGGGCGGAGGCCGCCTGAGTGCCGCCTTCCGGCCACGCCCACACCCTGCTGGACCCCACGGCCCACGACCCTGCCTCGGCCACACCTATCCGGCTACCCCACCACACCCCGTAAACACCGGCCAAGGTCGTGTCCACTCCGAAAGCTAAGTGCTCGCTAGAGTGAAACGCCACGGGAATACCAGGTGTGTTCTGCGTGGGCCGCCCGCACTCCTGGTCACACGCAGCGTCCTGACAGAGAACTGGGGCCCCAAGGAGCGCAGACGAGGAAGCAAAAAGAGGAAAATGGTTCTGAACAATGAAGAACCACCACCAGGGCTGGCGCCGTGGCGTGGCGGGTACAGCCGCCGCCTGCGACACTGGCATCCGGTATGGGCGCCAGTCCTAGTCCCAGCTGCCTCACTTCCGATCCAGCTCTCTGCTGCGGCCTGGGAAAGCAGTGGAAGATGGCCCAAGTGCTTGGGCCCTGCACCCGTGTGGGACACCTGGAAGAAGCTCCTGGCTCCTGGCTACGGACTGGCTCAGCTCCAGCCATTGCAGCCATTTGGGGAGTGAACCAGCAGATAAAAGACCTCTCCCCCTCTCCCTCTCTCTCTCTCTCCCCCTCCCCCTCCATCTCTATAAACTCTGCTTTCAAATAAACAAATGCATGCGCACACACACAGAAGTAGCTGAAGCAGCTGACACCTTGCTAACAGGGCAAGGCAGAAGGAAACGTGGTTTAAAACACGCTCTCTCTGGGGAAGGGAGACCACTGGTCCATTTTGCAATTTCCCACCCCGGTGGACCCAGGGACCTCCAAGCTCAGCAAGTGCTGTCAGGGTCCCTAGTGGCCACACGTCTCCCAATGCCTGGTCAAAGACGTGGACCTAAGGCCAGCGGGGACACCGCCCAGGCCAACAGAGGCCTCCCGGGCTTCAGAGACGCTGACAACCTCCTGTTCCCACGAGCAAACACGATTCCAGCACTTTCCACACCACACCCACTCACGCCAATCGGAAACTACGCGGCCAGGTGTCATGTCTGGGAGGACACCAGCCACGGGGCCCTGCGGAGGTGTCTGTGAGTGACAGACGGGGGCTCTTCCCCCACACTCAGGAGCCGAGGACTGAAGGTCACCAGGAAGCAGACACCCCCTCCAAGGCTCCTCTCTGGGTGCTACTGGGTCTTCCTGCCTCCTTATCCCTCAGCAGTCACTCAGTAGACCCGGGGACTGGTGAAGACGGGGTCTGCGAATCGACCATTGGCCGCCTTAACCTGGACAACAGCGAATGAAGGCCTCGTCCCAGGGTCTGCAGATTTTAACACGGAATAAAGAGTGCAGGAGGTGAAAAGTTCCACAGGTGGGGTCAGCCTCAGGAGGATCGCTCGCCTGGGCGGGGGCGGGGCAAGGCAGGGGGAGGAGCCGCCTGCCTGGGCGGGGTGTGGGCAGAGCAGGGGAGGAGCCGCCTGCCTGGGCGGGGACGGGCCAAGGCAGGGGAAGGAGCCGCCTGCCTGGGCGGGGTGTGGGCGGAGCAGGGGAGGAGCTGCCTGCCTGGGCGGGGTGTGGGCGGAGCAGGGGAGGAGCCGCCTGCCTGGGCGGGGTGTGGGTGGAGCAGGGGAGGAGCCGCCTGCCTGGGCGGGGTGTGGGCGGAGGAGGGGAGGAGCCACCTGACTGGGTGGGGGCGGGGCAAGGCAGGGGGAGGAGCCGCCTGCCTGGGCGGGGTGTGGGCGGAGCAGGGGAGGAGCTGCCTGCCTGGGCAGGGTGTGGGCGGAGCAGGGGAGGAACCACCTGCCTGGGCGGGGTGTGGGCGGAGCAGGGCAGGAGCTGCCTGCCTGGGCAGGGTGTGGGCGGAGCAGGGGAGGAACCACCTGCCTGGGCGGGGTGTGGGCGGAGCAGGGGAGGAGCCGCCTGCCTGGGCGGGGTGTGGGCGGAGCAGGGGAGGAGCCACCTGACTGGGTGGGGGCGGGGCAAGGCAGGGGGAGGAGCTGCCTGCCTGGGTGGGGTGTGGGCGGAGCAGGGGAGCAGCCGCCCGCTGGGGTGGGATGGGCAGGGGTAGGAGGGCAGCCCGCCGCCGAGCTGACCTGACGTTCTCGGACCCCAGCCCCGAGATGAGCTTGTCGGCGGCGATCAGCCGCCTCTCCATGATCTCGGCTTCTTCCTGCAGCTTCTGCTTCTCCAGGATGGCGGCCTCGTACTTGGCGCCCAGCGCCTCCAGTTCTCTTTGGATGGCAGCCAGCTCGTTCTGGATCCGCTCGAGCTCCCGTTTGGTGAGGTAGAAGTTCCGCTCCAGCCTGGCCACCTGCCGGAGGGCGCTTCAGTCGCCGCGGTGCCCACCGAGGCCCCTCTCGGGGCACAGGCCCCCCGTCCAGCTCCACGTCCCAGTTCAGATGTCTGCTGGGCTGCCTGTGACTCCACCCAAGAACCCAGCAGCTGGTCCCACTGTGGGTTCTAACTCTCGAGTCATAAAGCAGGACTTCAAAAGGCGGGATCCACCTTATGACCGTGTCCTCAGGGACACTGCAGGGTGCTGGGGGAGCCTGGGGCACCGCTGAGCACCCCACAATGCCAACGACTGACCCACCACAGAGAACCATGGGGTGGGGCTCGGAAACCCACATCTCTTTAAAGTTTTATGGCCTGATTTTATTTATTTGAAAGGCAGAGAGAGAAAGAGACTGGTCTTCCATCTGCCAGTTCAGCCGCCGAATGCCCACAGCAGCCACGGCTGGGCCAGGCCAAAGCCAGGAGCCCAAAACTGAATCCAGGTGGCAGGGACTCAAGGACCAGGGGTGTGGGTCAGCAGGAAGCCAGGACTGGGCTGCAGGCAGGGCCGTGACCCCCGCCCAAAGGACCCTGGAGACCTCACATGGAGCCGGGTTCTATCGCTGAGAGTGGACTCGCAGGGCGGTGGGGGAGACGTGGCCGTGGCCACACAAGGGGCCGTACCTTCTCTCTCTTGGGCTTGATTTCTCTGAAGACGTCGCAGTAGCCCATGACGGCCTCAACAAACTTCAGCATCCCCAGCCCAGCCTTGCTCACGGCCTCCATCTCCTCGATGGTGGTGTTGAGGGTCCGCAAGAGGCCTGGGGAACAGGGTGGGGTGGGGTGGGGGCCGTCAGCTACCCCCAGGAAAGTGGGGCGGGTTCATCAGTGTGGCCAAACCACACGGAGCACATGGGAGGCCTGTCACGGCCACCTAGGGCGTCCCACGACCCATGACCTCCGAGCATCGCAGGGAGGGGCACGCAGGGCTCAGGCAGCAGCCAGTTGGGATTCGGGGTGGGGGGGGTCTGTCCCCTGCGCTTGCGAAGTGGGCAGGGCTGCAGCCTTCCACAGCCAAAGACGGGGCCAGAGACTACCAGCTGACAGGAAGTGGCAGGAGGTCAGGTCACAGCCGCCCTGGGCATAGCCACACCCAGGTGGGCCCCTAAAGAGGGTCTGCTCTCCCCTCTGCCCTACAGGGGCTGCCATTTCCCTCTGTCCTCCACAGCCCCGCCTCCTCCCCGCAGCCCCACCTCCTCTCCACAGCCCTGCCTCCTCCCTTCACAGCCCTGCCTCCTCTCTGCGGCCCCACCTCCTCCCTCCGCCACACGCTCTCACTCTTGATGTTTTTCACTTGGCTCTGGGAGATGGCATCGAAGTCAAGCTCCATGAGTGAGCGCAGGAAGTTGGGGTCGGACATCATGCCCTTGGCCGTCTTCCAGTTGAGCTCCTTGTAGCCCTTCATGATGAGGATGCACTCGCACACGGTCTGCACCTGCTTCGGGGGCTTTGCGAACGACCTGGGGAGGAAAGAGGGAACGGCAGGTGTCACTTCAGCCAGCAGGAGTCCCCCCAGCCAGCAGATGTCACCTTGGCCAGCAGGAGTCACCTCTGGCTAGCAGGAGTCACCCCCGGCCAGCAGGTGTCACACTTGGCCAGCAGGAGTCACCCCTGGCCAGCAGGCATCACCCCAGCCAGCAGGCATCACCCCCATCAGCAGGCGTCACCTCCACCAGCAGGCGTCACCCCCACCAGCAGGCGTCACCCCCATCAGCAAGCGTCACCCCCATCAGCAGGCATCACCCCCATCAGCAGGTGTCACTCCCATCAGCAGGCGTCACCCTGGCCAGTAGGCATCACCCCCATCAGCAGGTGTCACCCCCATCAGCAGGCATCACCCCCATCAGCAGGTGTCACCCCCATCAGCAGGCGTCACCCCGGCCAGTAGGCATCACCCCCATCAGCAGGTGTCACCCCCATCAGCAGGCATCACCCCGGCCAGCAGGCATCACTCTGGCCAGCAGGTGGCCCCAGGAGGGCACCAGGGAGCCTCGATCCCAACAGCAATGTGGGCTCTTGGCCGGGCACTTCCCTGAGGGCAGGTATGGGTCTCACCTAGCAGGCTGAAATCGCGTGGTGGGGTCATCAGATTCAAACCCAGGCTGCCCAGAATCAGCACTGCAGGGTGGAGCCTGAGACCACACTGTGGTTACAACGGGGTGATTCCTCAGCCTCTAAGCAGTGGCTGCTGTGGCCATCAGCACTGTCATAATCTCTGTCATCATGTCTCCCCAGGCACCATGAAGAGTCGGGCTCCAGGGCTTGGGTGCCCTGCTCTGTTCTCACAGCCTGGGAGGCCTGGGAGAATTGGGGTCCCCTGGGCTCTTGTGAGGCTGGGCCACCCCTTCATGGCACTCTTCGGCTTAGCGGAAGCTGGCCAGTCACTGCTTCTCCAACACCCAGACCCCCAAAAGGAAGAGGAGGGGGACAGCTGTGCTGGCACAAAGCCCAGGAGTCCTGAGCCAGCCTTGCAGGCACTGCCTGGCCTTGGTCTCCTGCGGCCGGCGGTGGGCGGAGGTCACGGGCTCCACAAAGCCGTGAGGAAGGCAGAAGCTGGAGGAGGGAGCAGAGCAGAAACGAAAGTGAGGGAGCAGGAGGGAGAAGCGCGGGGGTGAGCACGGCCCCTGCAGGGGTGGGCGCCTGGGCAGAGCCCAGCCTGGTGAGGAGGCGACAGAGGCAGAGAGAGAGGAGGAGCAAGAGACACAGAGAGAGAAATCGAGGCAGACACAGAGCGTGGCAGAGCGAGAGAGGAACGGCTGACCAAGGCCTTTCTGCCCTGGGAAAACCCCCCACCGCCCACCCAGGACTCTGCCCACGCCCACAGACAGCACCACACAGCCCGGGGACAAGCCGGGGCACCGGCCAGGAGGCAGGGCAAGCCCAGTGCCAGCACGGCCCTGAGTCATGAAGGAGACGCTCCTTAGGCCGGCACAGGCTGTCGGGGGAGCTGGCACCGCTGCCGACTGCCTGTGAAGCTTTCCTGGGGGGTAGGGAGGGGGCCTCAGCACAGCCCTTCCTTCCCCACCTCCTCGGACGCCACTTCTCGGTGCACGGTGCACCGGGGCCACCTGGGGGAACAGCTCCAGCCCCGACCGCGGGCCGGTCCACTGCCCACCAGCCCCGGGGCCTGCTCAGAGCCGACGGGCAGGAGCCGACACTCAGCCGCTATCCAGCAAAGGAAAGGAAGGGGAGGAGAATCCGAGGCCAGCAGCAGAGGGAGCCCTGCACCCCGGCCGGCAGAGGAGCGCCGGCCTCCGGCGGGCGTGCAGCCGGTGACTGAGATGGCGCTCGGGGACCTCCAAGTCCCAGATCAGAGCTCCCAGGGTCAAGCACCCCCTCCACTCTGGCCCAACTCCCACCTCATGCGCACCCTAGTGTGTGCAGTGATGGCTCAAGCAGTGGGGTCCCCACCACATCCACGTGGGACAGCAGGATGGACAGCTGCCCAGCCCTGCCTACTGAGGGTATTCAGGGAGTAACCTGCCACATAAAAATAAGCAGGGAAAACACACACACACATGTACGCATGTCCCCCACGGGCAAACACGCACACACATGCACGCATGTACCCCACGGGCAAACACACACACATGCACGCATGTACCCCATGGGCAAACACACACACACATGTACACATGTACCCCACAGCAAACACGCACACATGCATGCATGTACCCCACAGGCAAACACACACATGTACACATGTACCCCACAGGCAAACACACGCACACATGCACACATGTACCCCACAGCAAACACGCACACATGCATGCATGTACCCCACAGGCAAACACACACATGTACACATGTACCCCACAGGCAAACACACGCACACATGCACACATGTACCCCACAGCAAACACACACACACATGCACGCATGTACCCCACGGGCAAACACACTCACACATGCACGCATGTACCCCACGGGCAAACACACGCACACATGCACGCATGTACCCCACGGGCAAACACACTCACACATGCACGCATGTACCCCACGGGCAAACACGCACACACATGCACGCATGTACCCCACGGGCAAACACGCACACACATGCACGCATGTACCCCACAGGCAAACACACACATGCACACATGTACCCCACGGGCAAACACACACACATGTATGCATGTACCTCACGGGCAAACACACACATGTACACATGTACCCCACGGGCAAACAACACATACATGCATGCATGTACCCCACGGGCAAACACACGCACACATGCACACATGTACCCCACAGGCAAACACACACACACATGCATGCATGTACCCCACAGGCAAACACGCACACATGCACGCATGTACCCCACAGGCAAACACACACACATGCATGCATGTACCCCACGGGCACACACTCACACATGCACGCATGTACCCCACGGGCAAACACACGCACACATGCACACATGTACCCCACAGGCAAACACACACATGCACGCATGTACCCCACAGGCAAACACACACATGCACGCATGTACCCCACTGGCAAACACACACATGTACACATGTACCCCACGGGCAAACACGCACACATACACACACATGCGTGCACCTCACGGGCAAACACGTGTACACATGTACCCCACGGGCACACACACATGTGCGCATGTACCCCACGGGCAAACACACACATGCACGCACCCCACAGGCAAATATGCACACACGTGTGTGCACCCCATGAGCAAACACACACACATGCACACACATGCGTGCACCCCACGGGCAAACAGGAAAATGCTCTGCCACTCACGGCACAGATAAACACCAAGGATGCAGCCTCCCCTCCCAGCGCCTGGGCCCAGCACCCAGCTCCAGCTCATCCCCCGAAATGGGCGCTCAGCCTAGCAGTGAAGACGCCTGCCTGCCCCTCCCAGCGCCTGGGCCCAGGCCCCTGCTCCAGCCTGGCAGGCAGCAGGTGGCGGCTCAGGTCCTCGGGCTCCTGTCACCCACATGGGAGACCTGAATTGAGTTCCCAGCCCCTGGCTTTGGCCCAGCCCAGGCATTGTGGCCTTTGGGGCGTGAACCAGCGGATGAGAGCCCTCTGCTTCCCAAATAAGAGAAAAACAGTAAAGCTGACCTCCCCGCCATACAACAAGCTCCTGGACATGCGTAGGGAAACGACAGTGAACCACGACCCAAACACGCACAAAGCACACGACAGTGAACCACTACCCAAACACGGACAAAGCACACGACAGTGAACCACTACCCAAACACAGACAAAGCACACGACAGTGAACCACGACCCAAACACGCACAAAGCACACGACAGTGAACCTCTACCCAAACACGCACAAAGCACACGACAGTGAACCACGACCCAAACACGCACAAAGCACACGACAGTGAACCACGACCCAAACACAGACAAAGCACACGACAGTGAACCACGACCCAAACACGCACAAAGCACACGACAGTGAACCTCTACCCAAACACGCACAAAGCACACGACAGTGAACCTCTACCCAAACACGCACAAAGCACACGACAGTGAACCTCTACCCAAACACGCACAAAGCACACGACAGTTCACAGGAAAGGAGATCCGTGCAATTGCCACAGTGACTTCCAGACATGAGGACCCCCCCCCACGCGTAGGAGAAATGCAAATCAAAATGAGACCCTTTCTGCTAAGAAAGCAACATCCCAGCACTGCACTGCGCCCCCTGTTGGTGAGGCCGTAAAAAGGCAGGCACTCTGGAAGTCCACCCGCCAGGAGGCCAGCTCCGTGTGCACCCCCAGCCTGGGCAGTGCCACCTCCAGAACCGAAGCCGCAGGTGGACCTGCCCAGCGCGTGGTGGAGCTCGGTCTGGCTTGGTCTCCGCCAGGCTGTCGGTAAAGCAGGGGCTGCCGGGTTAGCTGGGCGCAGGCAGCCTAGAAGTGGGGGAGGGGGCTTCGCCGCACTCCCCCCTGCAGAGTTCCAGTGTGCACCAGGACTGCAGGTGTTCCGCGTTCTCCAAAGCCTCGGGATCCACGGTCAGGGGCCGGCGCTGTGGCGTAGCCAGTAAAGCTTCCACCTGCAGTGCCGGCATCCCAGATGGGCACTGGTTCAAGTCCCAGCTGCTCCTCTTTCCACCCAGCTCTCTGCTGTGGTCTGGGAAAGCAGTGGAGGATGGTCCAAGTCCTTGGGCCCCTGCACCCGTGTGGGAGACCTGGAAGAAGCTCCTGGCTCCTGGCTTTGGCCAGGTCCAAACCCGGCTGTTGCGGCCACCTAGGTAGCGAGCCAGCAGATGGAAGACCTCTTTCTGTAACTCTGACCTTCAAATAAATCTTTAAAAACAAACAAACAAACAAACAAACAGGAATCCAAGGTCAGGTGCCAAGGAGACCCTTGCGTACCCGGGTCCTTGACCAGGGAGAAAAACCCTCGGAGTGGGCGCTTGGCACAGTGGCCAAGCCACCACCTGGGAATCCCAGCTCCCGGCGTCAGCCTAGGCCGGGCCAGGCATCCGGGGGTGAACAGCCAGATGGGAGGGCTTCCTGCGTCCAGGAATAAGCATGAGAGGAACGTGGAGTCCTCTGACGGATACAGGCTGAATGAACGGCGCAGCGGCCGCCACCGTGCGACTCTTCCCAGCATGCCTTCTCAAGGCCGTCACCCGGGTAACAGCTGATGCTGGCACGGCACTGGCCTTGTGCCCGTGGCTGTGACAGCTCCTCACCCGGGAGCCCTGTGGTCTCCAGAGAGGACCAAAGACCCTGAGACGTGGCACGGTGACGGCATCCTTGGTTCACAGGGAGGATGGGTGCCCCGCCGAGGGCCACTTGGCACCGGGGGGCGGCCCCAGGCTGTGTGTTCCCTGCTCTCACCGCGGCGTCCAACACAGCACCCCGGGGTGAGCCAGGCCCGTCACGACGCCTGCCTAACTTCAGGGGACGCCTCACGCTCCCCGGGATCCCGGGGAAGCCAGGGGTCGATGGGGGGCACAGCCCCTCCCTCCAAAGACACCCCCTCACGGTCCTCCCAGCCGTCTGCTCTCAGTGCCCAAGTCCTACGACCCTGGAAAATGCGCCGCGACTACGCCGCCCACCACCCAGCCTCAGTCTCTCCGCTCAGCACCGACCGTCACACACCCATCCCCGAGCCCCCCACCCCTGAGCGCCACGCTCTGCAGAGCTCAGCACGCGGCCTCCCCGACGTCTCCGGCTGTGCTCCTTCCCGGAGCAGTGAGCAGATTCTGTGTGCGAATTCACCTGCGTTTCACCCACAGGGCCACACGGGCTCCCACGGGGCTCCCACAGGGAACACGGGGAGCGCAGGGAAACCCGAGGGAGCGGGCAGCTGGGAAGGCCGAGCAGCGGCCAGCCACATGGGGGAGGGGCTGGGTGGGCAATGCAGGGCATCTCCCTGCTAAGGCACCGTGGAGATCCATGACAGTGCCCCGGGGAGACCAGGCCGTGCAGGGTGCTGTGCGCGGTGTGGGTCGTGCGGGGGCCGCGCTGGGGGTGACTCGCCGCCTCCCCTGCCTCCTTCCTGACGGTAGGAGCCCCCTCTGCTTCTGGGACATCACTTCACACAGTGAGCTGCAAGGCGCCTGCCCCTCCCCCCACTCAGCTAGAATGGCTCCCTGGCCTTTGTTACAGGTGTGCAGGACGCTTGGGCGTGGTTTCGGTGCCAAGGGCGGGCTGCCCGTCCCCGTCCCCGGCCCCGTCTCAGTCTGCAGGTGGGGGCAGTTAACAGTTCCTGAGAGGGAGAGCTGAGCCCCCCGCCCACCCGAGGGCCACGATCAGCACGGCCCAGGCGCACCGGGCGTCCGCAGCGGCCGCCGGATCTCGGCCCTGGAGCACCTGGCGGCGGCGGCTACCTGATCTCGGTGACGTCCGACTTGTCCAGCTTCTGCAGCTCCAGCTTGGCGGCCTCCAGGACGGGCATGACTTCGGCCAGCGCCGTCTCGGCCTCGGTCTTCTCCACGGCGATGATCTTGTTCTGCTCCTCCACCTCCATGGCCTTCTCCTCCGCCAGCTGCTTCTTCTCCTCGGCTGCGGGGGAGGGGCGGTCAGGGCAGCCGGTGCGGGAGGACGCGCTCGCCACGGCCCGCGTGTCCTGGGCCCACGGGCAGCCCCGGGAGTCCTGGTGGGACGGCAACCCTCGCAACACCTGGGCGGCTGCTCTGACCCTGGCCTTCCCCGGGGGGCCACGGGGCCCCGGCCGTTCCCTCCCGGGGCGGCCACAGGCTCCGAGAGGGCTCCCGCCCCACAGTGCTGGCTGCAGACTCCCATCTGCCCCTCCTGCTCCCGGCCACACCCCCAGGCGCCTCCCCCCGCCTCTCCCCACCTCAATCCCCTTCTCCCAGGTTCCTCAGGCCCAGCTGGACAGCTGCCCTCTTTGAGGGGGCCCGGCCGCTCAGGCCCACTCAACCATCCCTCAGCTCAGCTAACTGGCATCATGACCCCAGCGCTCTGCAGCTGCCTCACTAAGGCGGACGCATCTCCCCTGCCTGCTCCTCCACGCCCACGCCACGGCCAAGTGGCAGGCTTGGAGTCCTGGAGCAGGAGCATGGATGCAGAGCGAGGGGCGTGGGCGCCCTCAGGAGGGAGGAAGAGGAACTGCAGGTGTTGCAGGGCAGGGGACGGCAGGGACCTGGGGGCCACGCCGCATACTCACACTGGGCACATGCAGGGAGAGCCACCTGAGCCGGAGATACGTGGGAACCACCCCACCTGCGGAGCGCCCCAGCTCAGCAAGCCAGGTGCCAGGTAGAGACTGGGGTGTCCCCTCCTCACCACGGGCTGGGACCCCACAGCACAGGCCCAGGAGCAGAACAAAACTCGCAATTCTGGGACTATCGCTGTGGCGTAGCGGGTAAAGCCCTGCCCGGCAGTGCCGGCATCCCACATGGGTGCCGGTTTGTGTCCCGGCTGCTCCACTTCCAATCCAGCTCCCTGCTGATGGCCTGGGAAAAGCAGAGGAAGATGGCCCCGGCACCCCACACAGGAGACTCAGATGAGGCTCCTGGCTCCTGGCTCAGGCCTGGCTGTTGCAGCCATTTAGGGAGAGAACCAGCAGATGGAAGATCTGTCTCTTTCTAACTCTGCCTTTCACAACAATAAAATAAATGCCAAAAAAAAAAAAAAAGTCACAGTTCAAGTATGGAGCGTGTGGACTGCGACCGCTCTCCCAGCGTCATCAAACTGGAGATCTCTAGGTGGGACCACAGCCAGGCAGGGGCCCTCTGCCAGGCCAGCTGCCTCCATTGCACGGAGCAGAGACCGACACGGTCAGGTCAGGAGAAATGAGACCTCATCGGAAGGAGCCGAGCTAATGCGCGGAAACGCGGGGCTGAAAGTCAGGGATGGGGTAGCCGGGGCCCAGGGCTGGAATCAGCCCATCCCGGGCAGTGGGTGCTGTCACCTGGCGGCTGCTAGGGTGACAGGGTGGAGGGGCAGGCAGGGCGAGCGGCTGAGAATGGGCGGGAAAGGTTGCCGACAACAGAAATGATAGCAGCGGGAGCCCAGAGGCCCCGAGAGAGGGCTGCGGGCCGTGTCTCCGGCAAGACGTAGGTGGCCAGGAGCTTCCTGGCAGCAGCGTGGTCCAGGTCCCTGGCTGCTCAGCCAGGAGGGCCCGGCCAAGGGGCCCGAGAAAGGTCCTGGATGTCCCAAGGGACCACCGCCAAGGCCAAGCGCCGGCCCGGCTGGCTCAGCTCACGGGGCTCAGGAGATGGCTGTCCTGCTGGACAAACCCCCAACACATCCCCCACACAGAAGTGACGGATGTAGGGGCGAGGCGAGGGGAGAGCCGCACAGGCACCTGTCGGCGCACCATGGGCTCAAGCCACCAGCTCATGTCTGTGCACAGCGGATGAGACCGCACGGACGCCAGCTGTGCCAGACCGGCAGTGCAGGGGCCCGGGCGGCTGTGCCCGGCGCCCGTCCCCGCTCACCTATGGCCGTGTTGGTGACGATCTCTTCCAGCAGGGCCTCGCAGGCGGCCGACTTCTCGGCCAGCACGATCTTCTGCTCGGCCAGCTTCTGATTCAGCTCGTCCAGCTGGATGGTGGCCTCCTTGAGCTTGTCCAGGCCGCCCTCCAGTCGCTTGCACTGCGCTGGGGGCAGAGAGAGCCCCGTCACCGTCCAGGGCCAGGCCCTCCGGGGGCCTCGCCGAGGTCCCTCCACCCCGGGCTCACGGGAAACGAATCAACGCTGTGTGTGTAGGCGTCCCCGGTCCCGCCCGGCCCGAGACGTGAAGTCCCCGGGGACTTCAAAGAGTTTGTGGGCTGGTGTCGGTGCCGAACAATCTCGAAATGAGGCCCCTGGCGCTTCTCACCATTGCACCTCCCTGGGGCGCGGCCGCAGCTGGGCCTCGCTCTGAGAGGCGTTTTCCAGGGGCGGGCGTCGGGTGCAGTGAAGATGCCACGGGGGACGCCTGCACCCCTCCCAGAGCGCCAGGGCGCAAGTCCTGGCTCTGCTTCTGCCCCTGCTTCCTGCCAATGCCCCTGGGAGGCAGCAGAGATGCCCAAGTGCTGGGGTCCCCGCCACCCACGCGGGACATCGGGACTGAGTTCCGGGCTCCTGGCCGTGACCAGGCCCAGCCCTGGGTGCTGTGGGCATTTGCTAGGAGATCTCTCTCTCCCCTTTCAAACAAGTAAATTAAAATGCATGTCATTGCAAGACTGAGTGTGCAAGCATGCTCCCCGTGTAACAGCCACAGGACAGGCCCTCCTCCTCCGCCTCCACCCCAGGGTCTCAGCGACAGCAGGAGCTGTGCCGCCCCCTCCCAGGGCGCCCAGTCAAGCCCCACCCACTCTGCTTCCCGTCCAGCCTGGGGAGCCCCGTGCCGGCTCCGGTGCTTGGGCCCTGCTCCCCCGGTTGGAGACCTGCGTGGAGCGCTGGGCTCCTGGCTTTGGCCGCGCCCAGCCCCAGCCGTTGTAGGCATCTGGGGAGTGAGCCAGCAGACGAAGGCGCTCTCTCACATCCCACCCTACCCCCAGCTGTAGACACACGTATGTGTGAGTATGCAGAGCGAGGCCTTCCAAGTAGCTGAACTCTAGAAACCCGTGAAGGCCAGCACCTGAATCCCGGCCCTGCCCCAAGCACCACGCCGCCGGCCGCCCCGCCCCCATCTCTCACCCCGGCCCCGCCCCTCACCCCGGCCCCGCCCCGGAAGCCCCTCACCTATGTTGCACTGCGTCTTCTCGTCCAGCAGCTTAGCGTATGAGTGGATGAAGTCCAGGTAATTCTTGGGGGTCACGTAGTTGCTGCGCCTCAGCTTCTGCAGGAATTGTTTGCTGAATTCGTCCACAGATTCGTGGACCAACACAACGTGCTCCACCAGGTCGTCTATGTTCCCTATCGGGATCATGGGATTGTCCCCTACAGGGAAGGAGCGAGAGAAGGCGCCTCCTGAGGACAGGACGCGCGTGCTCCCCGGCGCGAGGAGCGGAATCTCCACCTGACCCCACGACACCGCTCCGGGCCCGAAAGACAGGGACTCAGCCGCTGCCGCCAACCCCGACGGCCGCCGGTGATGAGAGGGCACGGCGTGCTGCGTCCAGCCCCGGAAAGAAACAAGGCGCTGACGCGCTCCAAGTGCGGCCGAAAGCCAGAATCGGAAGGGGAAGCGAGGCGGGAGTCCGTTTCTACGCCACCCACAGGACCAGCAGACTCGGGCGGCCGGGAGGGCGGGCGCCAGGGCCAGCGTCGGTTTGGGAAGACGAAAACTGATTAGAGACAGACAGTGGTGACACTGGCCACGTGCGCACTCAGAACCGGTTCAAAGGAGCGCTTTTATACGCGTTCCATCGCAATAAAAATGATGTGTTAAATTTCCTTTATCCGAAAGGCAGGGAGAGAGAGCGTCCACCTGCTGGTTCAGTCTCCAGACGCCTCTGAAGGCCAGGGCCGAGCCAGGCCAAAGCCAGGACGCAGGAGCTCCCGCTGGGCCCCCACGTGCGTGGCAGGGGCTCATCAGCAGAGAGCTGGAACTGTAAAGGGAGCCGATCGAAACCAGCACTGCGGCGCGGGACGCAGGTGTCCCGGGCAGCAGCTTCGCTGCCGAGCCGAACGCCCGTCTCCGGAAAGCATGGTTGTTGTTTTTAACGTGACCCAAAGGAAGGGAGAGGGCGGCTACGAACCCCGCGTGGCTCGGATCTGCCGACCCAGGAGCCAGGTTCTCCTCCCAGCTGCAGGAGGACCCAGCGAGGCAGGAGGGGCCGGGGGCTCACTCGGGCTGGCTAGAGAGCTGTGGGAGGCACCAGGTGCCTCACGTCTCAGAGATCCGTCCAGGTTCCGGGATCCGGCCGTGGGTTCCACAAGGGCCACGGCTGCCTCACGAACCCCCACGCTCTGGGGTGCACTCCTCCAGCCCAGACTACCAGGGCAGGGAACCTGCAGTTCAGCGGCAGGCACACACACGTTCCGGGCGGCGTTTGCTGACGACCGAAAGCAAATCCAGGTACCAACACATGGGAGTGGCCAACACACCAATGAAAACCGGGGTGTGGCTGTATCGGGGGCGGCAGACTCTGGCCCAGAGGACAAATTTGGCCCACAAGGCGGTGTTGCGAATAAAGCTTTATTGGGAGGCAGATGTGACACTGCTGTCACAACACAGTGGCAACACGGTGGACGATACCTGGCAACCCTTGGCTACACCACCAGCAGGGAGTCGCTCCTCCCAGCCCTCGAGCCTGACCTGACCTTGACCTTGACCCTAACTCTACAAGTGCGTTAGGATTCAAGTTACGACGTTGGCTTGTGGGAAAATGGAATTAAAAAGTTTAGGGGCTGGCACTTTGGCATAGTGGGTAAAGCTGCCACCTGCAGTGCCAGCATCCCATATGGGGGCTAGTTTGAGTCCCGGCTGCTCCATTTCCGATCCAGCTCTCTGCTATGGCCTGGGAAAGCAGTACAAGATGGCCCAAGTCCTTGGGCCCCTGAACCTGTGTGGGAGACCTGGTAAAAGCTCCTGGCTTCGGATTGGCCCAGCTCCAGCCGTGTGGCCATTTGGGGAATGAACCAGCAGATGGAAGACCTTTCTCTCTGTCTCTCCCTCTCTAACTCTGCCTCTCACATAAATAATTAAAAAAAAAAAAAACAGATGAGGCCTTTGGTGTCTCCACCTTACAAGGAAACCCAGTGCAGCTGTCCTTGGGCATCCTTGGGGCCAGGGTCAGCAACTCTGTCCCAGGAGAGCCCGACAGGGACAGCACAGCCTCTGTTGCAGTCACTCAACTCTGCAAGTGCAGCCACAGCCACTGTGTGAACCAACGAGTGAGCCTCGTTACCAATAAAACTTTATTTAGCAAGGCAGGCAGCGCCTGCTGCCACTGACACCTAACCCATCCGTAGCCTGGATCGTCCTCCGGAGTCTTCTGACATCACTCGGGACGAACACACAGCCCAGGAACTGCCTTTGTGCTCGCGGGGGCCGGGCTGAGAATCCCTGGCCCAGGCGAGGAGAGCGGCTTGGGAAGGGCAGGCCTGGGCGCTCCCATCCCGCTTCAAGTCTCCCCTCTGCTTCTCTCCCAGCCCCTGCGAACCGTGTGCTGGGAGGAAGCCGTGCCAGCTCAGGTGCCTGGGTCCCTGCCGCCCGTTCTGGCGTCCTGGCTCCGGGCTATTGCGGGCGTCTGGAGAGTCAACTACTGGATGGGAGATACCTCTTCTCCCTGTTTCTTTCACGCACATTGAAAACATAAGTGGGGCTGGTGCTGTGACCTGAAGCACCGGCATCCCATATGGCCGCCAGCCTGAGACCTGGCTGCTCCACTTCCTATCCAGCTCTCTGCTGTGGCCTGGGAAAGCAGTACAAGATGGCCCACGTCCTTGGGCCCCTGCACCCGTGTGGGAGACCCAGAAGAAACTCCTGGCTCCTGGCTTCAGATTGGTGCAGCTCCGGCCATTGCAGCCAACTGGGGAGTGAACTGTAAGATGGAAGACTCTCTCTCCATCTCGCTCTCCCTCTCCTCTCTCTGTGTAACTCTTTCAAGTAAAATAAATAAATATTAAAAAAAAATAAGTAAAACTTTAATGAACAATTGCCTCGCTAATTAAAGCCCGCAGCACAGTCCCCACCCGTGACTCACCTAAAAACGACTTGGCCACGGCATGCAGGGCCTGGGAGGGCCAGGGCATGAACCAGTCGATGCCGGTGTTATTCACCAGACCTGGAAGACAGAGAGGGAGGGACGAGATGGCGCTGCGCACCCACAGAGGCTCAAGGACCCCGCCGTGGACTCCAGCAGCCGCCGCTGGGGAGGAGCTGGCCCGGGCTGAGCCACTCAGCCTGGACGATGCTGACATCTGGGGCCAGGCTGTACCCTGCAGGGTGTGGGACAGCATCTTCTGCCCCCCCACAGACACACCCCAGGTGCCACCCCTGTGCTGAGCTGTGACAACCAAAACAGCTCCAGGCCACAGCCCCCTTTCCAACAGCAGGAGCCACGCTTTCCACGGGGCTGGTGGAATTTTCTGGGGGGGGGGGAACCCGCAGAAAGCGCCCCCTCCCTGCCGTGGACCTTCCCCCTGGGGGCGGGGGCGCGTGCTGCCGTGGGCTCGGAGGGAGGCAGAGCGGGGCCAGAGCCCCCCAGGGCGGGCACCCTGCTGCTTCAGAGGGCGGGGCTGGCGGGCTCCATGCCAGGGTACCTGGGAAGTTCCGGCACCGCGTCCTCAGGGTGTCCCCCACGGGCGACATGCCCAGGACGATGTGCAGGTTGTTGGCGCTCTTGTTCACGAAGTACTGCCACAGGGACTCCTTGGCCGGGCCCAAGCCCAGCCTCGCCGCCTCCTGTCCAATCTGACCAAGGATCGACTCCTTCTCCTCCTCCTGGAACAGTGCAGGAACCATCCCTGGGGACACAGACGCGGGCTGGAGTCGGGGGCTGGCACGCAGGGTGGGGCGGCCGGGAAAAGGCAGCAGGTGCCGTGGTGCGCAGGAGGGTGTGGGTCCCGACGCTGAGGCCCAAGGCCCAGTCACCCGCCCCGGGCAGAGTCCTCCGAGCCTCAGTCTTCCTGGCCGTAGAATGGGGAGGCAAATGCCTCCTGCCTGCCTGGAGGGGCCACCGTGAGGCTGGACAGCGACTGCGTCTGGGAGCAGGTGCTCCGCTGCAGGCGGCTGCCCCACCCGCCCTGCACAGCCCAGGAAGCTCCTGGCCCGGTCCCAGGCGCTCTGCCGTCACCGCCTGGGGAGCACTGTGCTAGCGGCGTCTAGGGGCGGCAGTCAGGATACCCCGAGCTGCGCCGCCCACAGTAGCTCACGTTTTCTCTCCCGCCCCAGAAGCCTGCAGTGAGACAGGATCTCTCTCTGAAGGCCCTGGGGGAGGAGCCTCCTTTCTTTTCGGCTCTGGCAGGTGCTTGGAGAGGGAGCTGCCACTCTGGCCTCGTCCCCGTGTCTGCCCCCCCCCCCTGCAAGGACGGCTGTCCCAGGTGTAGGATGCACCCTGCATCCAGTGTGCCCACCTCTGCAGAGACCCCTACTCGTCCTAAAGCCCCACCCACATCAGGACCCGGATGTGTCTCTGTGAGGGGCCAGCGTCCCACCCTCCACGGCAGCCCTGAGCCCCAGGTCCTCAGCTGTGGAACGAGAGCCGGGGCACCTTCCCCTGCAGCTGCAATGCCCAGTGAGCACTGGGGAGGGTGCCCGGCGGGGGGGCAGGGACGCCCGGCTGTCCCCGTGACGGCTGTCCTGACGGGGGGTGGGCTACCGGGGTCTCATTTGCACAAGTGAAGATGATCAAACCCACTGCAGGGGCCGCAACCAGGGAGAAACGGGATGCGGGGGTGCGGGGCCCCGGACAGGGTCTGCAGGGGTCACGCTGGGAGCTGGGACCGGCCTTGGCCTTGACCTTGACCTTGACCTTGGTCGTACCCGACGTCAGCATGTTGTTGATGAGCTCCAGGAAGCCCTCCTCAGCCACGTGGGCATCCGTGAACAGAAAGATCATCGTCTTGTTCTCGACGCCAAGTTTGACGTAGAGGTTCTTCAGATCTTCCCGGAAGTTGTTCTCCGAGTAGCCTCGGCTCAGCAGGATCTCGAATACCTGCAGGCACAGGGGGCGGAGTCACGGAGGTCGCCGGTTCAAGTCCCAGCTCCTCCACTTCTGATGCAGCTCCCTGCTCAGCACACCCCGGGAGACGGCGGGTGACGGCTGGGTCCCTGCCGCCCAGGTGGGAGACTTGGACTGAATTCTGGTCTCCTGGTCTTGGCCTGGCCCCGCCCCGTCTGTCATGGGTGTTGGAAGAGTGAACCAACAGATAGAAGATCTATGTCTTCCTCTCTCTCTCTCTCTCTCTGTCTCTCTCTCTTTTTCTATTACTCTGCCTTTCAAATAAATAAATATTTTTTCAAAAGAAAAAAGGAATGGAAAGAGCAGTGTCCGTGGTGAGAACAAGGTCCTCGGAGTCACAAAGAGGGAGGGCGGCAGGACCTGGGGAGCGGGAGGGAAGCGGCGCTGGGCCCAGCCACCACGTGTGTGTGTGTGTGTGTGTGTGTGCGCAGCCCCGAGTGTGCAGCGCCCAGCAGGAGGCTCGCAGTGACGGCCCCCTCGGGGGAGGGGCGCAAGGCGCTTCGGTGAACTTGTAATTCTTAGAAAACCCGTGCACGCAGACAAGGACGCACACGCGGCAGGCGGACTCGCCTCGTAGCCGGCCGTGAAGGCGGCCAGCCTGGACAGGGACTGCTTCCCGGAGCCCCCGACCCCCACCAGCAGGGCGTGGCCGCGGTCCATGCGGATGATGCGGTGCACGCGGGTCAGGTGCTCCAGGGCGTCGTCGAACAGGACCAGGTTCATCTTGGTGTTGCTCTCGTTGTACTCCTCCAGGATTTCCTGAGTTAACACGGGGGGGTGGGGGTGGGGCGTTCGGCTCAGCAGCGAGGACAGCACCGAGGGGCCTGCGGCCCCCATCACAGTGCCGGGTCCCCCCATCACAGTGCCGGGCCCCAGTGCCAGCTCTGCTCCCGGGTCCAGCTTCCCGCTGACGTGCACCCTGGGTGGCGGCCGCCAAGGCTCAAGCACCTGGGTCCCTGCCGCCCATGTGGGAGACCCGGATGGAGTCCCCTGACTCGACTTTGTCTTGGCCCAGCCCTGGATGGCGCAGGCACTCAGCAGGGAGCCAGCGGATGGGGGAGTCCCTCCGTCTCTCTCCCCCTCTCAAGATGAAGGAAAACAAGGCCCCCGGGCCCTGCGCCCAGGATTCTAGGAAGGAGGAGAGGTCTTCTCTCCTGAGCATCCATCGGGGTTCACAGTCAAGGCTGCCATCTGCTGGTCTCTTCCTGGCCAGCAGGGGGCCCCACAGGTGACAGGGACTTAACCAGCAGGAACTGCGGAGGAGCCCGGCCCGGGGTCCCCACGTCTGGTTCTGGGTCAGAACCCCGCAGCAGCCCTTGGGGCTGGACCAGGCGACTCTCGGTGGGGGCTGTCCCCACTGAACGAATCCCCACGGCAGCCCCGGGCAGCACTGGGCGAGTGGAGCCCGCGTGCGCAGCCCCCACACCCAGCCTCAGGGGTGTGACCCGTGGGCCCCCGCGCACACCTGGAACAGGGCCTTGGCCGCCTCGTAGTCCTGGATGTCCTCGTACACACGCGTCTCCTCCTCCTGCAGAGCCGTCCGGAAGTCCCCGAACAGGACCGGGTCCCTCATCACCGCCTCGGCGTCCTCGCTGAAGTGCTCCATGACCAAGCTGCCGATGTGCTCCTGCACCTTGCACCCGGGACCCCGGGACGACCCCATGAGGACCCTCGCTCGGGGCCGTGACTGCCAGGTGAGCTCGGGACTCCTGCGCCACCTCCCCCACCCCCCCCGCCTGCCATCCCTGGAGCCCTGCATGCACAAAGCAGCGGGGCTGCCCCGGCGCCAGGCCAGCACTGACCAGCTTCTTGTCCATCTCGTTGATGAGCCGGTCGTGGAACACCCGCAGACACTCGTTCCTCCAGACACGCACCATCTGGGCCACCGTCTGGAACCTGCGCCGGGAGAGGCGTCGTCCGCCACCGCCACCGTCACCATCACCGGGCCAGCAGTCGGCCCTGGCGCTGCCGCTCTCCCCCCGCCCCGGTCTCACACTGACACAACCTGGCAGCCAACGGGTGAAACACAGAGAGCGTGAGGGCAGCACCCACGGCCACCCACCCACGGGGCAGCCGGGAGCCTCCTCCCACAGCACCAGCGACGTGGAATGGGCTCCCGACCCCACACGCCCCAGCCAGTGAGCCGCTGGCATTTAGTCAGCACCCGCTCCATCCGGCCCCATTCCGGAACCTTTCCTGGTTTCTACCCAAGAGGCGTCACTGCCCCCAAAACACCTGCAGCTGCCTCCCCCTGGGGGTCACTCGGGACGCTGCGAGGGTGCCCAGAGCAGTCTGGGAGCACAGAGAGCGGCCGGACGAGGCACGCACCGCGAGCTAGGCTCTTGCACGCCCCTGTGGGAAGGCATCGGTCTTGCTTCCTGGAGAAGACTCCCAGACCCAGCCATGAGTCCCTTCTGTCCCCGGCGCGTCCCTCGCCTGAAGACACTCACGACAGAAGCAGCCGCAACCGGCAACGAACACCCAGCCTCAGAACCGGCGATGTGGGCCCACCCCGGGGCGCTGACACCTGTCCGCCTGGCCAGCCGGTGTCTCCTCTTGGCTCAACAGCTTACAGAGCGCCAGGCCTTAAATCAAGGGGTTCTCTCCTTTCTCCACCGAGCACAAGCGAAGGCATCGGGTGATGCATCAAGCGCCGCCCTGAGTCGTGGGACAGACTCCACGAGCCACGGAACACTCACCGCTCCGGGTGCGTGAGCACGAGGCCGTTGAAGACCCGAGAGAGGTCGCGAAGGTTGAAGATGTAGTGGAACTTGGACGGCGTGGGAGGCAGGTCCTGAACAATGTTTTTGTAAAGGGTCAGCGTGCAGGTGGTCAGCTCGCCACTCACAGCCACGATGCTCTCGTGGAAGGTCTGTGGAACCAAGACACCCCCCACCCCCAGCCAGCATCAGCAGCTCAGCCACACGGCGGAACACGTGACCACAACGAGGGGGGGACCCCTGACACTCGCTGCAGTGCAGACCCCCCCACCCCGCCCAGGGAGGGAAGCCAGCCCCACGGGAGCAGAAGGCAGATGGGTGGCTGCCCCAGAACCGGCTTCCTCTGCAGGGAACCAGGCAGTGGTGACGGCGGCACAGCACCATAGGTGCAGCCAACGCCTCCCAGGTGTGGACTAAAAACGCCCAAATGATGAACTTCACGTTATGTGGATTTTACCAAAACTTTTAGAAACTTATTTGAGAGGCAGAGCGACAGAGAGAAATACAGAGATCTTCCATCCGCTGGTTCACTCCCCAAAGGCCCACAGCAGCCAGGGCTGGGCCATGCTGGAGCCAGGAGCTCCCTCAGGGTCTCCCGCGTGGGTGGCAGGGGTCTCAGTGCCGCCTCCCAGCGTGCGCACGGGCAGGGAGCCGGGCGTAGAACCAGAACTCAGACCGAAGTTTCGGATCCAGTGCAGGGTTCAGGTGTCCCAGCGCTGTGTGCTGTGCCATACACAGTCCCTCCACACACTAGAGGTTTAACAACAACAGAGCCCAGAGAAGCCGACCATGGGATCTGGTCTTCTCGCCCTGGATTCTCACGCTCACCGACGCGGCAGCGCGCAGTGAAACCAGAAACCTAAGCCCGCTCTCGGTCCGAGGTTACTAACCTGGAGCAGACCCCACAGCGCTGGATTCGGAGCCTTCAGCTAGGTCACAAAAACCCAGGTGCTCACGAGGCTGGCGCTGTGGTGCAGCGAGTGGAACCGCCCCCTACAGCCCCGGCTGCTCCATTTCCAATCCAGCTCCCTGCTGTGGCCTGGGAAAGCAGTGGAAGATGGCCCAAGTTCTTGGGCCCCTGCACCTGTGTGGGAGACCTGGAAGAAGCTCCTGGCTTCGGCCTGGCCCAGCCCCTGGTGCTGTGGCCACTAAAGGAATGAACCAGAGGATGAAAGATCTCGCTCTCTCCCTCTCTCTAACTCTTTCAAACAAAATATTCAAAGAAAAAAGAAAGAAAAGAGAGGAGAGAACCCAGGCTCTCATAGCTCCCACTGACCACCCCTGGCCAGGCACGGCTTTGCCTTACTGCCCTGTCCCCCGGCCTTTGAGGCCAGGGCCAGGATGAGAAGGTCATTGTTCAAATGAATGGGTTCCATTTGAGGGGACAAACAAACCCTACCAACTGTAGCAGGAGCCAGTACCTGGTGAGCACGTGCTGGACAACATGCCACACGCGTGTGTGTGCCACATGTGTGACCTGCACTTTGCTTTCATCCTGCCAAAACCCGTGTGCAGTGGCGCCATCATCACCTCCCAGCTCAGGCGAGCACGGGAGCCACAGACAAGGGTCTCAGCTGAGAAGCAGAACGGGGGCTGCCGAGCCCAGGCCCTCAGACCCACTGCCCAGACTCCACACAGGACGCCTGCCCAGGCCCACGTCCGACGCCCACGGCCCAGCGTCCCTCCTTCCATTGCAGTAAGTTACAGTTGTATTGTATGACTGCGTCGGTAGAAAGGTGAGTGTTTTTCCTTCTGATTTGGGGAGAAATTTAAAAGCAAATGTTGCAGCCGGCGCTGTGGCATAGCGGGTAAAGCCTCTGCCTGCAGCGCCGGCATCTCATATGGGCGCCAGTTCGAGTCCTGGCTGCTCCACTTCCGATCCAGCTCTCTGCTGTGAGAGGCCAGAGCCACGCCATGACAGGCTTCTCACAAGACAAAAAAAACAGACTAGGCCCAGGATGCGCCTGGTGTGAGAAAATGAAACCTGACACCGGGCAGTCCTTGGTCTGGTCCGCAGGACCAGGTGGAGGCAACCAATAAGGTGGGCCGTCCTTGGTCCTGCAGGGCCAGGGGAAGGAAGGAATGCGGACGTAATACTTGTTTGTCTGGGAACTATAAAAACCCTGAGAACACAGAGAAGGGGGTCTTGGTCTCCCAGCACTACACTGAACAGGAGGTCAGGCCCCAGCATGCTGGACCTACAAATAAAGTCCCTTTGTTCTTTGCATTACGGTGAGTCTCACTGGTTCTTTCTATCTGGGCAATCCAGAACACAACGCTGCTATGGCCTGGGAAAGCAGTAGAAGGTGGCCCAGGTCCTTGGGCCCGTGCACCAACATGGGAGGCCTGGAAGAAGCTCCTGGCTTTGGATCGGCACAGCTCTGGCCATTGCAGCCATTTGGGGAGTGAACCAGCAGATGGAGGACCTCTCTGTCTCCCTCTGTGCCTCTCTATACCTCTGCCTTTCAAATAAAATAAATAAATCTTTAAAAATAATAAAATTAAAATACATCTTCATGGGCCCCGGCCGCACAGGTGAGGCAGCCCCCGGTGGCCTCCGGACCCCCACCCCCACCCCACCCCTACCCCCACCCTGCCGGCTCCCCCAGCTGTGACTGCTCACCGAGGTGTGGCCTCCCGACTCCCCCCCCCCCCGCCGGCTGCCTCAGCTGTGACTGCTCACGAGGTGTGGCCTCTGGACACCCCCCCCCGCCAGCTCCCCCAGCTGTGACTGCTCACGAGGTGTGGCCTCCAGACCCCCCCCCCCGCTGGCTCCCCACGATGACTGCTCACCGAGCTGTGTCCGGACACCCCCGCCGGCTCCCCGAGCCGTGACTGCTCACCGAGGTGTGGCCTCCGGACCCCCCCCCCCGCCGGCTGCCCCCCGTGACTGCTCACCAAGGTGTGTCTGGACCCCCACCCCCACCCCACCGGCTGCCCCCGTGACTGCTCACCGAGCTGTGGCCTCCAGACCCCCCGCCGGCTGCCCCCCGTGACTG